GAACCACAGAACCGAAAATTTACCCAGATTTTTGCTGACACTTACTGGCCTTAACTATAAAGCCGCTTTTAAAAATAATGGTTATCTAAATTTCTGGGACTATAAAGAAAATAGAGTCGCAAAATGTCAGCTCAAATCAAAATATGCAAAAAGAGAGAGAATCAGAATCAGGCAATTGAAAAAGTAATGATTTTGCAAGATGAAAGACAATGGGTAGTCCATTGGTTCAACAGATGCAGGATACCCGGAGTAAGACCAAGGTACTCTAAAACAAAAAATGATTAGAAGTGATATGCCAAAGTGTTTTATGTACACCAATACATGTGGAAACTGCGATCAAATGGTATAAACATAGCTCGCCATAGATGGGAATTTGACGGAAAAATGGTGGTGGTGCTTTGTATTTACCGCATGGTGTGATGTTTTCTGGCAATTCGGAACTTATGTTAATTTGTGCCATAGTCTCAGTTAAATTTAGACGAAACTTGTTCAGAATATTCAACACGTTTCAAAACGCACCAAAAGAAAGATACAATAGCATATCTAGTTCCAGAGGGTATCTGTTTTGATCGCCTTACATCTGTTCATACCAACAATTGATGGTAGAAAAGATGTCTGGAGCAATGTGCACTTCTTCAGTTCAACAATGTGTTTAAGTGCGATCATTGGATTTGTGTTGACTGTTTAAAACATTTCCACAAAATAATTTTTTTTATTTTTAAATTTACCTTTGGTAACTAGTTATAACATTTTATATATTTTAAAATAACTTTATATTATAGCCTAAAAATTAATAATTAATAGCACTTGGAATTGATCATTACCTTATATTTAGTATTTCAATATTAATAAACAACTTAGATATACTACAAATTATGAATATCTTTATTTTATTGTTATATAACTACTATATTACTATAATACTACAAATCTCATTATAGCTAGATGTAATATGTAACATCAGTTTTCTCATTACCTAATCGGCAAAATTTCAGCATTTTATTTGTATTCAGTAATATACCTTTCAAATTGATATGTAGTAAAAATTTTCAAAAATTTCGCTTTTGAGGGTTAAAAGTAAAATATATGATTTTATGATTCCTCATACTCATTCCACATACATGCGAATATTAGTTAGTTGTTATTGCCAATTATTTTTTTTTAAACATGTACCTGATTAATATAGTTCCTAGAACCGTTTAAAATACGTTTTATAATGTAATAAACTATAAGTTGAAAGACAACGGATAGGTTAAACCAGTAAATCAAAATTCATGATTTCACATACACATTCCACATACTTGCGAATATTAGATAGTTGTTATTGCCAATTATTTTTTTTTTAAACAAGTCCCCCAAAATATATAATAAAGGTTATCTTAAAACGAATGACGTTGATGATCATAGAGATGGAAATTTGGGGCTATATAACTAGAAAATATTTGTTGAAAAAATCACCAGTTTTCATTGTGAACTCAAGTGAACACAAGTGAATGCAGCAGTCCGCAATAGCAGACATCAGATTTATTTGATACCTTTTTCGCAAACAAATATGTAAGTACTTATTGTTTCTATTTTTTTATTAATATATATATTTAAAAATATAATATCTCATACGGTTAAATATATTTTTTTTCTTTTTTTTTTTTTTAAAAACATTATAGCTTTTAAGTTTTTAATATTTAATTGAATAGTACCATAAGTGGTATATATGTAATATAAAGTATGATTAGTGTCTCACGTTTTTTAAAAATTGAAGTATTACTTTTAATTTTTTTAGTAGTTACAGTCGATTATTTTATTAATAATAGTAAACCGAGTTTTTTTAAAAAAATAAAAAATATATTTAAACAGACTAGAGGAGGTTTTTTAATATATATATATATATATATTTATCAAAATTATATTTTTTTGAATATATATTTATATATAATGTTATAGTCCGGGCAACGAAAACTGGCCGGTGACCCCCGTGACCCGCCTGCCTTATACCAGTGGTTAGCCTTGGGTTCTCAAACTGCACCGCGCCGCCGAGATGTTCACACAATAGGCGCTCGGCATGTGTTTTTTTTGTCCCTTATTCAATTCACAATTTAGGTACCCTAAAACTGGTATATAACAGGTGGAGAACTGGAATGTATTATGGAGGGATCGTACACGTGTATAGTGTATACGGCTGTTGATTTTGTGCATTATGCTACAGACATTTGTAACAGACGGTGTGTTGTACCTACGATTTTGAAATCAGTTTTGTGAATATTTGTTTTTTTCTTGTGTTTGAATACATTTTTGTACAAGGATCTATTAAAAATGTCTTTAAGTAATAGTGATACACGCAGCCAGAGTAAACAAATTGTTTATAATGTTTATAAATATTTAAAAGAACTGTCATCAAAACCGGATTTAACTGCCGATTTCTTTAAACAAGCTCAAATACGTACCGGCGAAGCTTGTGGATTGTCAGAGCGCACTGTCAGACGTATTTGTTCTGAAACAAAACATGCAGAAGATAAACCCGATGAATCAAAGTCAGTTGTATCATTCAAATCTCCACGCAAAGGCTACAAACGTGCGAAAATTGTATCAGAGCTCGACGATTTTGATTCAGATGTCGTTAGAAGAACGGTACACGAGTTCTACGATCGAGGTGAGTACCCAACTGCGAATTGAATATTGAATGCTTTAAGACAGAAAATCAATTATACTGGGTGCTTACGTTCGGTGCGAAATCTATTGAAGAATTTGAAATTTTCTTATAAAAGTGTAATGATGGTCGAAAATTTTTAATGGAGAGAAATGACATTGTTGCACTTCGATATAAATTTCTTCGAGAAATTTGTACGCTGCGCAAGGCAAAAGATGATCGCCCTATCGTGTATATTGACGAAACATGGGTCAACCAAAACCATTCGAGGTCAATTATATGGCAAAATGAATGTAGCACTGAAGGTTTGAAAGTTCCTACAGGAAAAGGAGGTCGGCTTATCGTGTGTCACGCTGGATGTTCTCGTTACGGGTTTATTCAAGGGTCCAAGCTAGTATTCCGTAGTAATACAGGCAATACCGCCGACTATCATAGTCAGATGAATGCTGAAGTATTTCAAAAATGGTTTATTGAACTATTAAATAATCTTGAAGAACCGTCTGTCATAGTTATGGACAATGCGTCATATCATTCCACGTTGGCAGAAAATTATCCAAAAAGCAATTGGAGAAAAGCTGACGTACAAAAATGGTTAACTGAAAAAAATATTGAATTTAGCCCGCTTGAAACGTTACCAGAACTTCACCAAAAAATTAAAGCCTTAATTCCACGCGAAAAGCAATATTTGCTTGACCAAATTGCTTTAGAAAATGGACACGAAGTAATACGGTTACCTCCTTACCATTGCCAATACAACCCAATCGAATTTATTTGGGCCCAAGTTAAGAGTCGAGTGGCGAAAAACAACAATACGTTCAAGATGGTGGATATCGAACGTCTTACCCACGAAGCGTTAGATGCGGTAACCAAAGAGGATTGGGAGAAGTGTGTAAGACATGCCGAACAATTACAAGAATTAGATAACCAAAAGGAAATCCTTAGAGACACCATAATGGAACCAATAACTTTGACGATAATGCCTGATGATAGCGATTTCAGTGATGAAGAATCAGATACAGAGCAATTGGAATAACTATTATTTTATTATTTTATATTATGATTTATTTTATTTAATGTATATATAAAATATATTTGTAGATTGTTTTGCAATTATTATTAACTATTAATAAATTGTATGTATAGTATATATATTGAATAATGTTTTATACTAATAATTTTTTTAACCATTTTGTCCCATCATTCGTATAATAATAAATGAATATAATATACCATGGTAATAAATTAATTTAAAAAAACGCGCCAATTAGTTTTGGAAGTATAACGACCCCTGAGTGGAAATGGCCGCTAGAGTCGCGCCGGTCACCGAACAGTTTTCGTTGCCCGGACTATAGTATTCACACATACTTATAATGTATTTAATGTTTGATTCGTACTCGATTTTTTTATTCTCGTTTTTAAATAACAAAAAAAAAAATCTCTAATTTCAGAATAAAATGACACAAGAATATATCAACAAAGGCGAATTAAAAAAACTTTATTTTCAATTAGAAAAAAACAAGGTGTCAGAAGACGCAGCTGAAAGAATTAAAAAAAGAAAAAATTAAATTAATTAATCATAAAATTAGAAATATATTTAGAAAAAAGTATTCTAGTTTAATAGAAATAGAAAAATTTAAAGTTGAGAAAAAAAAAATTTTAAATGATTACATTTACTCTAATTATATTTTGAGTAAATGTAATCAACTGATATACCTAAATATATTCTTTTTAAAAAATATAATTTAACATAATATTCATAATTATTATAGTAAATATATCTTATTACATTATCTGATTTTTCTAAATATTATAAAGTTTTTTATTATTATTATATTAAAAATAATATATATATATATATTTGATAAGACTTAGTAAATATTTTAATCGTATTATGTTTTTGAACACAACAAAAAAAATTTAATTTTATACCTATTTAAAAACTTATCAAAATACATAATGATACAAACAAAATTTTTGAAATAAACCTAAGACAAATAAAAATACTGATTTAAGTTAAGGATGAATACATATATTTCGATTTTTTTCAGTCTACGCGCACCGCTTGACGTAACAGGTTGTCCGTTCGATCGTAACCGATTTCCTACGCGCGTTCTGTGTTCATATTCAAACCTCGGGCATGGCGCCCATTAATAAGCCGTCTAATCCTACTAAAAACACCGCTCACAAACGAACAGCTAGCATAGCTCTTTCACCTCGGGAAAACATCAAAAACAAATTCTCACCTTTATCGGACCTAGTAGACACTGACAACGACCAATCAGACAACATTAAAATTGATACGCCGGAGGTAAGACAAAAAATACCACCTCTTTATGTTTACGATATCACAGATTATATTCACTTTCGCGACACAATAACTCCTATGATAATAGATGAGTTTAGCATAGCTAACAAAAATACTGTCTTGAGACTTAATCTCACATCAGTCGATGACTACCGCACTCTCACTAAATATTTTACCGAAATCAAAATAAAATATCACACGTATCAACTTCCAGAAGACCGAAACTTATCCGTAATAATTAGAAACCTCCCCACATCTATACCTGAAGAACAAATCTTTAACGCAATTACCGATCTAAACTTCACTGTTGTCTCAGTAACTCGACTTCAAAATAAACATAAATCTCCCATACCGATAGTAGCGGTACTACTCGAAAAAACGGCAAAAGATATTTTTTCAGTAGACCGTCTACTAAACTGCATTATATCTATCGAAAACCGTAAAACTGATTCCAACATACCTCAATGCCAAAATTGCCAAAGATTCCAGCATACCAAAAACTTCTGTAAACTTCCGCCCAGATGCGTAAAATGTTCGGGAGATCATCACTATTCCGCCTGCACAAAAGATTTTTCTACCCCCCCTTACCTGTGTAAATTGTCTGGGGAATCACCCAGCTAATTACCGAGGTTGCACAGCTTACAAACAACTAAAAATTAAATCTCGGCAAACAAATTCAAAAAACTCTACTACCCATAAGCAGTCTAATACCGAAGTTAATATATACAGCAACAATCACGCATCCACGTCACAAAATGTTGCTTATAATCACCTCTCTCAGAATAGCACAAACCCACCTGTCTTCAGTAATATAAACAAACAGTCCTATGCAGAGATAACAAAAACAAATACCTACGATCATCGGCAACTACCTCCCTCCCAACCAAATATCCAAAGCGAGCTTCTGCAGTTACTAATGCCCACCATAAATTCACTATTACAAGAAATTATAAAAAAAGTCATCGAATATATCCCAACGTTATTAAGTCAAGTAAATGGCAGTCAACTTCAATAATATTTATAATACTAATTTAGTTATCATAAATTGGAATGCCAATGGCCTTAAACAAAACAGAAATACTTTTGCTGCATTTTTGAACTCTCACAATGTAGATATAGCCTGCATCAGCGAGACACATTTAATTATCGCAGATAAGATAAAATTTAATGGCTATGTCACTTATCGCAAAGGCAGATTAGCAGTTCGACCTTCAGGCGGCGTAGCTATTATAATTAAATCTAAAATAAAACACCATCACACTTTTATACCTGCTCAAAAAATCAGGGTAGAACACGAATCCGTACGTTTTGTACCCAAGAGTTTAGTGCAATGTTGCCAGATTTGTCTATTTGACTTAGGCCGGGGCCACACATAGCGATTGAGCCGCAGCGGCTGAACCGCCAAAAAATTTCAAAATTTTTGATTTTAAATGCAACCGCCTGATTACATTTTTAAAATTTTAAAATTTTTTATATTTCATACGAATCGACTTAAAATATTTATTAAGTATTGTATAATTTTATCTTTTTATTATTATATAAATTTTATATTTTAAACGAATTAACTATAATTAATATTAAATAGCGACATATAAAATATTTATCAAGTATTATATAATTATTTTTTTTACATTTTTAAAATTTTAAAATTTTTTTTACACGAATTGGCAATATTAAATGGCAACATTGCACAGACAATCGTACGCAATCGTGTTGTTTTTGGGGCCTTTTTGACAATCTATTGTTTGAACAAAATCGTACGGAATCGTGTTCCCAAAAAGGTAAAACGTACGGAATCGTGCTTTACCGCTACAATCATTGGAAGCAGTGGCAATTACGATATCTATCAACAATGTAATTACAACTCTAATTAGTGCATATCAATCTCCAAGTTTTAAAATGTTCACAAGTGATTTCGATAAAATTCTTTGCAGTTTTCAAAAAGTAATGATCATTGGTGACCTGAACTCCAAACATACCACTTGGAACTGCAAAATGACAAATCAAAATGGTCGTAAATTACATAAATACTTTTCAAATACTTCAGCAATTATTTCTTCACCTGACTCCCCGACGTATTATCCATACGACCAAAATAGAAATCCTGACATACTAAACGTAATATTATTAAAATCAATACCTCTATCAATTCATCAAGAGCCCTTATTTGAACTTGACTCAGACCACCTGCCTGTTAAAATTAAAATAGGGGGCACCCTAAGTGTATCTACAAAATCACGTAAACTTATAAACGGCAAACCAAACTGGGAAAAATTTAAAACTTATATAACTCACAATATAAAAATCCCGAAAAACATAAATAACACTTATGCAGCCGACGAAGCCACAAACCATTTTCAGGAAATTATTCATCTAGCAGCGGAACACTGTTCAAACCCGTCTTGTAACATATCTCAAATTAATACTTTTTCTCAAATACCTACTTCAATTCTAAAATTGATAAAAATAAAACACCGTACCAGAAGACTGTGGCAGCTCCATAGACGAACTGAAGACCGGAAAAATCTTAATTATCTTACTAAAAAAGTAAAAACTTTACTCGAAGAACAAAGAATAGCCTCATACCAAAATTATTTATCTACAATTCATCCTTCGGACTCAAACCTATGGCTCGCTACCAAACGTTTAATTAAACCAAACGCTAGTGTTATACCCCCGTTAAAATCTGATAACGTTTACCTAAACTCAAATGCTGAAAAATGCGAACTCTTTGCCAAAACCCTAGAAAATACTTTTTCACCGAACAATATTGTTGACACCGAAACAGAAACCGCGGTGCGCAACAAACTTATGGAACCAGATATTCATCCACAAAACATACTTCCTTACACCACCTCTACTGAAATTAATGAAATAATAAAAAGATTACCAAACAAAAAATCTCCAGGACACGATCTCATCACAAATGCTATATTTAAAAATATCCCAATAAAAGCAATCACATATTTATCTACTTTATTCAATTCATTAATGAGAATCGGCCACTTTCCAACTGAATGGAAAAAAGCCACAATTATAATGATAAAAAAACCTGGAAAAGACAACAAAAGCCCTAATAGTTACCGGCCCATAAGTCTACTATCTTCAGTCTCCAAAATATTTGAAAAAATCATATACACCAGATTAACAAAACATATAGATGCAACTGAAGCCATTCCACATCATCAATTTGGTTTTAAACCAAAGCACTCAACTACTCAACAACTCCTCCGCCTAACTGAACACATAAATAATGGTTTTGAAAAAAAACTTCACACCGGTGCAGCCTTTTTAGATATTGCGCAAGCATTTGATCGTGTCTGGCACGACGGCCTACTATTCAAATTAAAAACATTAAATACCCATCCTACCATCTTTAATATAATTAAATCCTTCCTCTCTGATCGTTGTTTTGCAGTTCGCATAAATGACACCAGTTCAACAATAAAAAAAATAACAGCCGGTGTTCCCCAAGGATCCAAAATCTCTCCCCTGCTTTTTAATTTATACATCGCGGACTTTCCCACTACACCTAACACAGAAGTTTCCCTATACGCTGACGACAGTGTTGTCTTTTCAAGCTCCAGCGATGTCCACATTATTACTGATAATATACAGAGCCACTTAAACAAAATAAAATGCTGGGCGAAAAAATGGAAAATTATCCTAAACCCCTTAAAAAGTACGGCAGTACTATTTACACTTCGTCATCCCAATAACCCTCCCTC